CCAGTGGTGCGGCCCAATTGTGCAGCGGCTGCGCGGGCCGGGCCAGGTGGTGAGGGGCAGCTGTCGCCCCGCGCGAAGATGGCTGCTGGGGGCAGCCCGGGCAGCGCCGTGGGGCTGTGGGACCTGCGGGAGGCGGCGCAGCGGTACTGCGAGCTGGCGCTGGAGCGGGCGCGGAGCGTGAGTGCAGGGCCGGCGGCATGAGGGGGCGCGACCAAGGGGGGCCTGCTCTGCCTCTAGGGCGCGGGGCGGGGGCGCGCCTCTGGCTGGGCCGCGCCTGTGGCCGACGCCCGGGGAAACCACAGGAGGATCTGGGGCCGTGGCGCGGCTGGGTCAGAGCCCGGGCCTCCCGGGGACTGTGTAGGTCCCCAGAGCCGGTGGGAGTCCCGCTCCCTCCTCCCCCCACCTGCTGCGGTGCTTCCCCGCCGCCCTGGGCCCGGGGAGCTGCCGTTGGCTGCGCAGCTGGGATTTCTGCCAGGCCCTGACGCCAGAAGGGAGGGGAAGGTCCCGCTTGTGACCCTAACCCTGAAGATTTACTATCTACAAGCCAATGGGCTAAAGGGAGGGAACAGGTGAGAGGTAGAGCAACATCAAGACTGCAGTACCGCGCATGCAGCACCTTCGGTCTCCCCCTCAAGCCTTTAGTCCCAAGAGCGTTCAAGCAGCAGCTGCCCCCAAGTCTAAGTCCAGCTCCTCCAGTCCACAGTCATGGCTGACCGAGCCAGCGAGATCCCCAGCCCTGCTGTGCACTGCTCTGTGTAGGGCTGACTCGGTTCCCTGTGTATTCTGATCTCTCTTCGCCTTACTCCAGCCTCAAGCTTCCTCTTCCTTTTTCTGTGCCCTCCACCCCCTGAGGGTTTCTGAGAGTTGCTGTCCAAATTAACAGACATCAGCACTAAACAATAAGCACCTGGTAACCATCTGCTACCTCTCAGTATTTTGAAAAAAACAAAATACAAGAGTCCTTTATAACCTCTCGATAGACTACGAAATCAGGACTTGTTAAAAATAATAGTTGGACACTTTTTAACTGCTCAAACTTTTTCTGGTTCTGCTTTTAAGGTTGTGGCAGCATTGCCTGAAGACATGAGACCTGGTCCTGATCTTTATGGTTTTCCATGGGAAATGGTGATTTGTGCTGCAGTTATTGGAATATTTACAGTCTTCCTATTCCTGTGTAGGAGTTATCAATCAGTGAGTATCCAAATATAGAGCATGTTGTTGTCATTTTTTACAAGTATATTAAATCTTTCCCTTTAGGAGTTCTAATTTTTTACATGAAATAGTTTTATAATGTTTAAAGGCAACCAGTCCATATAGCTAGCTCATTAGCTCCCTGAAAAGGGAAACAAGTTGGGATAAAGCTTAGCATTTCAAGGCCCTTGGTGTTTGGCTATTTACTGAGAAAATGTTAATTTTAGCCTGAAGTGCTAGCTAATCTTTTAAAAGCAAATGAAATACAACTCACTTTGGAAAGCAGAACTGGCTTATCAGTACTGAAATCCAGCACTAAGTGAGATTGTTTCAAATATAGTGGAGGAGAGTTTATTTGGCATCAGTACCCTTATACAGGGATATACCCATGCAGGTTCCAACCTGCCTGGATGCAGTATTGAAGGATCAAAGTCATACTGCACCCAGACTTTCCAAATCGTTGTACCTGTTGGCTGGTTGAATACAGCTTACAGACTGACTGTTCCCAGCATACTTAGGAAAGGCTTATAAAAAGCAAGGACCTTTCTGCTAGACCCAGTAGAGGCTCTGACACCAAAGGTTGTTCACCAAGGGAGTCATCTAAAACAGGGGTGCCCAACCTTTTTGAATGTGAGGTCGGATCGTGAACTTTTTATCACCCAGTGGGCCGGTGAGCCATATTCAGAGACCTCACAGGAAGTGGTATCGCATCACCCCCCTGAAACAAAAGTACGGTGTTTACTTTTGTTTCCCATCGCAGCACCTTGGGCCTTAGAAAACAGCTTGGAGAGCCACTTGGCGGCCCATGGGCCATATGTTGGACAGGCCTGATCTAAAATGTGCATGCAAGACCTTCAGGGTATCAAGTCGCATGCTATTACATTTATATTGTCTTCATACTACTGGCAGTGAGAAAAATCCTCAAGGGCTTTCTTAATGCTTATTCTTCAGCGACACAGACCCAACTCCTTTCCTGAACCTCATTATTGTTGTCCTTAAACTGCTGGAAGGTTTGTCAGATGGTTCTCAAGAAATCTACCAAGCAAACCAGTGATTCTGGCTGCCATCACTTTCTCACAAAGGGTCTGTGATCTTTGTCCTTAAGCTTGGACTGCCTAATGAATTTTTTCATAGGACAGAATATAGAGGAAACATCCCAGCTTAATTCCTAAGATGTTTCTGAAAATCTATCTGAATCATTATTTCAGTTTTTTTTCTAAAGTCACATTTGATACCAAGGGAGAAGAAAAAAGGCTTTGGATGTGCCTAGAACTTTGCTTTGTGTCTGCAGCAGGACCAAACCTATCAGGCTGCCTTCCATCTCTTCATGTCCATACCTAGCCCATTAAAAGACCTCTCCATCTTTAAGTGGATAAAGCCGTCTATTTTGATGTGCTGTCAAATGATGGACATGTCAGGGTGCTGTCCATCTGAACAAAGACAGAATCTTCTGCTCAGTTCAGGAATTTGCAACATGGAGTAATCTCCTGACTTTTTTAAAACAGTATGTGCTGTACCTGACAATCAGAGCAAAGGAGATGGGGATGGAGGATTGTGGCCACCCCAGCCTTTATCTGCCTACACAGTCAGATGGGTCACCGATTGGCTGGAGGGCTGCACCCAGAGAGTGGTGGTGGACGGGTCATTTTCAAACTGGAGGGACATGGGCAG